GATGCATGAAGTGAGCTATCATGAAATACAGACTTTTTGCCCTAAATATTTCTTTTAGCTAAAACTGAGAGAATATAAGTCCCAATTTGTAATTGTCATAGCATTCCCATAGAGTAGCTGAGTTCTGTAGAGCTTCAATTAGCGCCCCAAAGAAATTTGGGGAATTTTAATCCACTAAATAGAAGCCTTTCACATAGTGTGCACTTCAAGGCCCCATTCAAGCGCTGCCTCCTTTAAGAGATCTTTTCTGGTAATCTTGCTACTGCCTTACCTCCATCACGTGTATTTATTTTGAATATAGTCCACACATACTTATCGGTGGCTATGCTGTAAAACCCTAGTGGGATGAGGGTTCATGAGGGTAATGACATGTCACACTTCCGCATTTGTATTCCCAGGGCATAGCAGACTGGCAACAGTAGGCACTGAATAAAGTTTTTTGACTGATTGATGGGGCAAAGAGTAAGAGACTGGGCTGGGGGAAGGCAGAATGAAGTCAGGATTTTTTTGGGGGGGGGGGGCGTGGAGCAAGTGGAGTTTTCCTCCATGCCAATTGATGCAGTCACCTAAAGAGCCCGGTTGAGAGGAGTTAAATGAAGTCCAAAGACCTATCTAGCCTTTTTACCCATTTATGAAGTATAAAGAGGTTCTCTTTGATGGGATTAGGGAACAGCCAGCTTCCCAATAAGAGGCCCCAAGTCCTGGTGGCCTTAAAAAAACCAGGATAGTCTCTGGGGAGATTCCCACTGGGTCAGTTGGGAGCAGAAAGTAACTTCAAGGAGTGTGACCTCTGGAAACAGAAAAAAAATAGCCAACTATGCATTCAAGACAGAACTAGTCTTGGAGGTCAAGCATTGAGATGTGGAGGAGAGCAGCTTGGAGCCTGAGAGCCCAGCAGAGATGCTGTGCCTAAAAGAACAGCGTGGGGATACCTCAGGAAGGGAAACGATACTGGGACCCTTCACTGTCACAGGTGCAAAGTGCCTAGGCCATCTGGGTTCTCTACATATGCTTTATTACCAGCACACCCCTAAATCTGTAGCCACTCTTCCCAGTGATGTTGCATTTGGGGGGCCAGCATACTTCAGGTTTATGAAGGTGATGCTTTTTAGCTATAGTTCCTACTATACCACTTAGTAAATGCATTTTCTAATTATTTCTCCTGACTGGCTTCCTGATAAGTTAAAGGAGAGGATTAGGGAGCCATGATTTTACCCATTAAGCCTTGAGGTACTAGCCACTCTACGGGGGACCAAATCTGCAATTTTGAGTTGGGGGAAGGTGTAGACCTTAGAAGAGTGTTATACTGTACATGTGTCATCCAAGATATATTTGGGAGCCCCATGCATTTGGATGGCTCCACATAAGAGATTTTAATTGGATGCCTTAGTATTGCAGGGATCCATTGGAGAAAAGTTAGCAGTTTTTTAAACTGATTATTCTTTTGTTTTAGGCTATGATTGGTCAGTTTGTTTTGTGTTGTTTCCTCTGCATATCACAGCAGTTTCTTTAAGATAACATTTGTACAGCTTAAGGCTTAAGTACTGATACAATATCTTTCAAAATGTGTCCATTTTGAGTATGGAAGTTGATGTGAGCAGCATTGATGCTAAATCCTTAGAATGAATACTGGTGCCTGGAAATGCACTTAGATGACTCATAATTAAAGGACTGGCTCATTAATTAAGGGACAAAGATAATTAAAGCAGTCTGCAGAATGCTGTAAATTAGGGTTCTTAACCTTTTATTTGTCATAGATCCCCCCCTACTTTGGCAGCCTGGTAAAACCTATGAACTCCTCCTCAGAATCATGCCTTTAATCCATAAAACAAAATGGAGGTTAACAAAAAGAAATCAATTATATTGAACTAAATACATATTTTGCCAACCTACATTCAAAGCCCCAACCAAGAGCAATCAATAAAAATAGTATTTATATTGTGCCTGCTTTGTGCCAGGTACTATGGTAAGCACCTTAGAAATATTATCTCATTTGATCTACAAAACAACTCTTAGAGGTAGGTTCTATTTTAATCACCATTTTTTTACATTTAAGGAAACTGAGGCAAAGAGAAGTTAAGTGACTTGCCCAAGGTCAACACAGCTAGTACATATCTGAGGTGGGATTTGAAGTTGTCTTCCTGGCTACAAGTCAAGTCCTTTATCCACTGAATCTCATTTTACATATGAGGAAACTGTTTCATATATATATATATATATATATATATATATATATATATACACATACATATATATGTATATATATATATATATTTTTGGTGAGACAATTGGGGTTAAGTGACTTGCTCAGAGTCACACAGCTAGTAAGTGTTATGTGTCTGAGACTGGATTCGAACTCAGGTCCTCTTGACTCCAGGGCTGGTGCTCTATCCACTGCGCCACCTTTTTGAAAAACATTGTTTTGTCTTGAATATATGCCCTAAGATGACAGACTGTGCTACTGTTGCTATCTGGTTGAGAAATTGCTGCCCAAGTGCCTGAACAGGGAACCATCACCTCCTATTACTCTTTTCTTCTCCTGACTCTTACTTGACGATCTCTCACCTGACAGCTTCTGTGCCTCTCCTATATCATTCCTTGGAAGACAAACTGCTTCTTCCTCCTCGGAGTATCAAATCCCTCCTTTTCAGAAGTCTCAAAGCTGTTTTTATGGTCTAATTATACAGAGGCCAGATTCTGATAGGTGCCCATACTCACCAGTGCATGCTACTGAGCCTTGAACCCTCACACCACAGTGGAATGCACTATCCTTAATGTAAGGTGCTTAATATGGAAAACTGTGGTCATTTTCTGGGAAAAAATCTTGACCAACAAATGAGGAACCTTTTGTTTTCTGGCAGGAACATGATGCTATTTTTTTTTACTTTTTCTTTTTTTTTAAAATCCATTTTAGACTTAAATATTAAAACTTAAATACATGATAAGAAAAGAAAAAGAAACTTAAATACTGAAACAAATACAAAATAAGAAAAGGAAAAAAAAAGCATTGCTATGTACACAGCAAAAGGTAAGGAGAGGATCCAAAATACAGAGCAATAAATTTCCATTTCCAGAAAGCCTGTATATTTTGAATCCTCTTTTACACATTATGTTGACAGCTATCCATCTTTTTTTTGCTTCCTTGTAAGTTTTCTTTCGTTCTCTGCTGTGCACTTTTTACTTTGTTCTTTTTTCCCCTTTCTATGCCCCCTCCCCCTGCAGTGCTGATTTAATATAAGATGTGATACAATGGGACTTAAGCAGAGAAATGTTGGTAGTTGTTGAAAAGTCTAAGGGGACTAGTCTATGACATAGTATGTGCATTGAAAATACAGAAGTCAAAAACTACGTTATTTGATGATGCAGAAAGTATGAAGATACATATGAAATATTCCTAATTACCTCCCAATAAGAGGGCCTGGAGATCACTGATTTCATGTTAAAATTAGAGAAGTTGTTCCTGAGGCCCACAATCAAAGGTGCACTGTCTAGAGAGAACATGGACCATGGAGACTAGCACAAATTCTCAGAACAGTATATCAGAAGCCAAGTTAGTGAGTATTCATTAAGAACTTACTACGGACCAGGTACTATGTTAAGTGACCCCTTACTATTGCTACCATTGCAGCTACATGAGTGAAATAAACAGTCCCGTGGCACTCTGAGCTGATACAACTGATCTTGTAAAGAAAAGAAGAGTCTACAAGTTGGAGGGGAATCTGAGACATTTTGCCAGGCATGAGTCACTGAGACAAAGTGAGACGTTATAGAGGACCACCAGGTCTACACTGGGAACCCAGTGGTCTTTTGGAAGATAGTATAACAGGCAGAGCTACTATTACTAGAAAGAGAAGAGGGTTTGGCAACAGAGGCCAAAGTGGCCTCAGAGCAGAAAAGCAGGGACAGAATGCAGACGATGAAGTTTGGTCATATTCTGTTACAAATGTGTCCTGAATGGACACGAGTAATATGTGTGACTGAAAGGAATGCAGAGTTGGTGTGTAAAAAGGTTCAAATTCATAAAGAACTAACATAGGAAAATAGATATGTTCTTGGAATGAAGATCATTGAGGGCCCAGAAAACTGCCAGCCTGACCTCACCATCATCAGTTACTTATGGGCCCATTTGATCTAGACTTGTAGGAACTCATACAGATGGGTCTAAAGTGAATATTGAGAATGTGAGCTGAACTGCTGTACTGGACAATGGATCCCATTTGACCACTGTGCTGTAATGCTCTTTGAGATTTGATCACAGACTGTGAAGGGGATAGAATTATATAGTCTGAGTGGAAAAAAAAGGGTCACTACATCTGGCTTCTGGGTGAGAAAGTTTTAGGGAAAAGAGCAGAACAGAGAGGGACTTAGCTGAAAAAGGAGAAAGGAATAATGTAGTTGACTTGCAGGGGCATGGATTAGTGAAAAAAGGTAAGAAGTTGAATCTGATGATGACAAATTTGGCAAAATTTGGGAGAAATTGGGAACAATTTGAAGGGGAACAACCTCCAGACCTAAATACTGGTCCAGATTCTACTACCAAGTTGAAAGAGGAAGCAGGACCAAAGACAATTACGTGAAAGGACAATTACAGGAAAGAGTGAAGAACATTCAAGGAGGATGAGGGAGTAGAGCTTGAGGAGATAAACTCGAAAAAGAGAAGGAGCAGGCAGTTGGCACGAAAAGCCAAAGTAAGTAAGAAAAGGTTGAGTGGAATAATTAGAGAGTTAAGAAAAGTGATAAAGTGGATTGGTGCGTAGATCAAAATGGTGAAGTAGAAAAGAGGATGGTACAAGTCTGAAGGAGAGGTGAGTGTGCTGGTGTTGCTGAAAATTAAGAAAGGAAGTTGAGTGGGTTGTCAAGTTATTAAGAGTAATAATTAGTTGTAACAATTTTAACCAGGTGCTGAGGGTTGTGGTACAAATACCCATAAGCAGTTAACTAAAGCAAGACTGAATATCTCAACTATTATGAAGAATAGGAGAAATTTTTCAGTAACTTACATTGCAAGTTAAATGTTTACATTTCTGCCATAGCCCATTGAGAGTGTTCTGGGTTCCAAATGTAGGCTGATCTCCTTCCTTGAGGAAGTGAAGGGACTTGAAAAATGCTTCTTTACACTCCAGGTTGTTGGGGAAAAGGAAGTGTTCCTAAAGGAAAATGGGGAAAAGGGACATGAGGAAGATGAGAAACTTGACTTCTATCAGGATAATGGAGAGTGGAAAAGTGTTACACAGAGGAGAAAGGGGAAGAAATGGACAGTTGCTGAATTAGGCCTTAAAAATAGTTTTGAGACTTCCTGAAGAGGAGGAAGCTGGATTCTCTGAGGAGGAAGAAACTATTTTTCTTCCAAGGAATCATAGAGTAGGGCGACAGAAACCATCAGGAAAGAGATTATCCAGTAAGATTCAGGTGAAGAAGAAAAGAATAGGACAAGTTGGTGATTCTTTGCTCAGAGGGACTGAGGCAGCTTTTTCTCAATATGATAGCAATAATAAGGAAATGCTGTCTTCCTTAGGGTATGTATCCAAGAAAGAACAATTTCCCGAGGCTTAACAAAATGGATGATAAATATCGACTTCTGGTGATTCACATGGACACAAATGACAAGTCCAGGAAGACTCAAAGAAGGATTATAAACAATTACAGAGCTTCAAGCAAGAAACTGAAGCCCATGGGTTTAAGGGGGGGAGGTTATAATTTCTTCAGTATTATACATTAAAGGAAAAGGATGCAGAACAGAAAAATTAATTTGGGAAGTGAATAGCTAGCTAAGAAGATGATGTCTGACAATAGGATTTTGATGTTGACATAAAGGTACTGAACAAGAGGTTCTACCAATGGGGGAGTCCCAACCTCCTGGATTTTTCCTTTTTTTCTCTCTCCCAGCCTGGGCCATCCCAGGACCCAACTTGTATATCTAGGCAGAGGGGGAACTGCCTCTAACAGGAATGCACTCTTACCTCGCTTTTTTCCTTTAGGCCAAGCTGCTTTACTGCCCATAGGGCTTTACTGGTATAAGAATCAACAACTTCATTCCTTCTAAAGAGGTAGAGAATGACCACCTGCCCTATCACTGCCTCCTAGGAATGTCAAGGCTTTTTCATCTGCCCTTTGTGCCTTATGTTCTGTTGGCATTGTCATCTTAAATGCCCACGCAACCCAAGAACCCCTAGGTTTCGCCAACTAATCCGCGGCTCCCCACAAGATTTTGGAGTCTTTGCATTTACACTGAAGCTGAACTTTTTTTTATACGCTCTCTCCTCCAATTAGAATTATAAACTCATCAGGGACTATTTGTATCTCTGGCTTGACACATAGTATAAGCTTAATAAATACTTTCTCATTTACTCACTTAGTTCTGGAGCATGGATTACAATATAGGGATGACAGATACCTGGCCAGAGATAGAGTATTCCAAAAAAAGGCTAGTAAGAATGTGTTTGTCAGGTGTCCTTTAAATCTAATCAAAGGAGTTTTAAAAGAAAAAGGAATGGGGGAGAGGGAAGACTGCCTATGTAGAGCCCTCAAGTTAGATACTATAGATAGTAGCTACAAAAAGAGGAAAAGAAATAGCAGTGGAGATACCCAGAAATTCACAGGAGAAAAAAAATTCAAGAAAACAGTCAGTGGTAAGACCCAGAGTCTTAAATATCTTATGTGCAAATATCCAAAATTTAGGCAAGAAACAAAAGGAACTAATGATCTTCCCACAAGGAGTTAAATTTTACCTCACAGGTATCACTGAAACTTGGTGGAATGAAAGTCATGATGAGGCTATGGTTCTAAATGGATATACCTTATTCAATATAAAGAAGGTAGATGGATGTGTGTGGCAATGGAGTTACACTAAACACTAAGAATGTATTCCCACTTGAGGACAACCAGTAACCAGACAAAGCATGACAAAGAGTATGTGGATAAAGGTCACAGTAGGGAGAAACAGAAATGATTTTGTTATTATAATACATTAAAGAGCACCTGGACAGAAAGAGGAAATCTATGATTCTGAGAAACACATCATAAATCTGGCACAGAAGCATAATGTAGGAATGATGGGAGACTTTAATTATCCAAATCCCTGATGGAGCTTTCTCAATGCCAAAATCAGTTTAGGTTATAACTTCTTGATTGACTTTACTGCAAATTTCATCCTTCAGAAGGTGAAGGAATCAACAAGGGGAAATTCAATTCTGGATTTGATTCTCACTAAGATGGGGAATTGGTTGCTGGGGTGGAAATGATGAGAATTCTGGGAAGAACTGACCATGATGGTGATAGAAAAGGAGAAGCACTTTACTTTTGGGAAGGCATATTTCAAAAGGTTTAGAGAAAAGATAGGTAGTGTCATATGGAGTGAAATGCTTTGGGGGAAGGAGACCAGACCAGGATGGGTGGGAGGTGCTCAAGAATGAAATTCTAAAGACACAACAGCCAACAATTGCACTGAAGAGAAAAATTGGATTATAAAAGTGATAAAAGTGATTGTTTTTCCTTAAAACAAGTTTTTATTGATGCTTTTTGTTTTCAACATGATCATAATTTTCCCTAATATCTTTCCCCAGAGAGCCATTCTATATAGCAAATAGTATTTTTTTAAAGACAAGAAGAAAAAGAAGAAGAAATTAAAACAATTGATCAATACATTGAAAAAGTCAGAAAACATGTGATGTGGGGTTGAAAAATTGAGAAGATGGAAATTTTCATAGCTAGTATGGATTTCAATTAAGGGCTTATGGTGGATTAACATGTTGTCATGGCCATAGTTAAAAAAAAAACTTTTGTAGAAACAGGTAAAATACCCAAGTTCAGTGTCAAAATCTCTATCCATGTGACAAAATCCTGATAAGGGATGCTGGGGCTCAGGAAACGCACAAGACAGCAGACTGAGAAAAGTTCACCCAACACGAAGTTGTGTAGAGATTAGACTACTTATCTGCTCACACAATAGTCAGGGAGAATTAATAGGGTTCTAAAAAGAACAAATACATAGAAAGCTCCTATTTTCTATCTGAGAATTGATTGGATTTTTCTAAAGGGCTAGTAGACAGTAGTGATGGATAGTGAGTATGAGCTAAGAAGTTGCCAAGAAGAGGAATCTATTTGCTTCTGTGGAAAGACTGTCAGAGCTCAGAAGATGATGACTCTTATGGTGAATTGAATAAAGGCACATAATAAGCCCCATAATTCAAGGGTTAAGGTCATTTCTCAAACTGAAGTCACATTTCTGTAATGCTTGACCTTCTCCTTAACTTCCCTATTTCTGTTGATGATGAAACTATCCTTTTAGTTATCTAGGTGCAAAACCTCAGGCATCTTTGACTCTGTCTTCCTCATTCCTATTGTTGAATTAAATTCAATCTGGTTCCAAATTTTATTGTTGGACCGTCATGTAATATGTGTGGGAACTCCAGAAGGGCTACTCTGGGTTCAAGGGACTCTACGAATCTGCATTTACTTAAAACCCATAGCTCAAGAGCCCTTACCAGTAAAATTACTTTTGCAAGTTAGCCAAAGTATACAATGAACAAAATAGCATAATTAACAAAGTAGCAAATATATTTCCCCCATCACCAATATATCTGGGACACAAGTTTGTATATTTGTGTGTATGTGTATATCTGTATATTTACATATAGGTATACATGGACATAACTATAACTATATATATATACACATACACATATATACATAGTTTTATATATATAAACTATATATGTACCTATATATATAAAGTATATATAACTATATATAAACTACATAGATACATAATTCTCTCCCCCCCACATGCACACGCTGAGTGTGTGTGTGTGTGTGTGTGTGTGTGTGTGTGTGTGTGTGTGTGTGTATGATGGTTGTGCTGGTAAATGTTTAACAATGAACTCTCCCAACAAAATATATGCACAACACACTTTCAAGTTTAATCTCATGATTAACATTTTCTCGTCACTTTCTTAAATCTAGACAATCAACAAAACAATAAACCAAGCCCTGATTTGTAGCACTTGGTGACTTCTGAGTTGTAAATACTCATAAGGAAAATTTAACAACTAGCTCTTGAGAGCCAGTATGAGCTGACTCCAGCCCTAATTGAGCTGCATGTAAGATCCTTGTGTATGTATAATATGAAAGAGTTAGAGAAACTAAAATTGATAATATAATATCATGTTGCTCCTACTGGGTCACATGGCTGCTCCTCAATGATACTCATGTACCTACTACATGCATCTTTGCTTCTAGCTTTAGTGTTTCCTCTCTTAGGTCAGGCTGATCAGGTGATATAGTACAGAGGTGTGTCAGACATGTGGCCCTTGGGGGGCCAGGACCAGATAAAATGAAACTGAAAACTGAAAAATATTTAACAAAGTAAATAAAAATACAATAAAACATAGATACCATTACATTTAAAACTAAGTCAACATGAGACAGCAGGGATTCTTATGTATGGATCAAGAGTACTGATTTCTATTTGAGTTTGACACCAATGATCTAGTGCATTTACTAGAAGGTCTCTTCCTGATGAAAATAGGATGATAGCTTTTTTGGCATAGTTAAGGCTATGAGATATATTACATCTAATATTATAGATAACTAGGGCCAAAGTTGGGCAGAGTGCTACCCAGCTAGTATTAAGTCTATTTTTGGATTCTTCTTGCTGTTCACTAGGGGCAGTCTTAGTCTCAATCCTATATCTGATGTAGGGTTAGAAAATCCTGCTACCTACTGTTAATTTCTGATCACAAAATTAGATCCCTTAATAATAACTTCAGGAGTTGTCCTTTCAAAAATAAACCACCAAGATCTGTGTGATTCTGCGGCTCCTTAGTTTCCTCAAAGGTAAGATAATTTTTGGACTCTCTCTTTTTTTTTTCCTTTTTGGTGAGGCGATCAGGGTTAAGTGACTTGCCCAAGGTCACACAGCTAATAAGTGTTAATTGTCTGAGGCTGGATTTGAACTCAGGTCCTCCTGATTCCAGGGCCAGAGCTCTATTCATTGCACCACCTAGCTGCCCCAATTTTTGATCTCTCTTGCAACTGAACTGGAGGGGGAAAGACAAATCCTTTGTTCCAAATTCTTGCTTTTGTTATGTAAATATGGCTAATCACAAACCTACTGGGCTTTGAGCTACCCTACACTGTTAGAATCACAAAATCTCTGGTACCCATCCTCCCTTTTCTCCTCACAATGCCAGCACTCATGTTCAAGCTCTCACTGGGTTTCCCTGAACTATTTTTTAGAATATTTTTTTCCTTGCTTCCAGTCTTTTCCCTTTTTATTGCAATCATGCTTAACACAGCCAAAAAAATTTACCAATTTAGAGCTAGGATCATGTCACTTCTACGTTAAAAATGATCAGCAGCTCACTAATTCCCGTAGGAAAAGGCATAAACTCTTAGTTGGCAATAGAAATCCTCAACAAGTTGATGTCAACATACTTTCAACCTTATTTCAAATGACTCCACTTCATTCACTGTGTTCTCACCAAATGCACTAACATTTAATCCCCTATTTTATCTTGACCTCAAGCTTTTGCAATCTATTCTCCATACCTAGAATGCCCTCTCCCCTCATCTCCACTTATTGAATTCATCTTTTTTCAAGACAAATCTTAGGTGCTAGTTTCTCCAAGAAATCTTTCCTGATCTCCATATGTAAAAGTAATCTCTTTCCTAATTTTCTTAGAACATTTTGCCCAGATATTGCCTTTGTCCTTATCACATTCTACCTAGTACAATTCTCTGTGTACATGTTTAATTTCCCCCTATATATTGTAAACCACCTGAATGTAGAGACTATGCTTTTTCCATCTTTGTATTTCCATAATCTATCTCAGTTCACATAGTAGAGATTAAATACATGCTCAATGAATTTAATAGAAATAATTTCCCCAGATAATACGATCACCTTGTCTTAGTTGCTAAAATTAAAGGGATTACGATTTCATAGGATTCTAAGAGGGTTTTCTTGAATAAAACTCAAGGACATAGTAAGAATTAACATGTTTGAATAGTTCTTATTGGATTGCTTAGTAAGGGAGTAGATCTTATACCTCAAAAAGAAAATTATGTTTCAAATGGAAGTTATACTAGAAGAATTTTGAGATGTCTTTTAACTCTAATATTCAATGAGGTTCTGTAGCTTGGGGGAGATGGAAGTCATCTTACTTTGGGTCAAAGAGCAGGAAGAGGGTGGTCACAGACTACTAAGTTAGAGAGGCAAGAAAGCAAAAATAAAATGAGAAAAAGTAAATTAGCTAAAGGGGATGGAAGAGTCAAATTAAGGGTTGTTTATTTTTCGTAAGAAAAACTCACCATGTATGTAAACATGAGTGAATGGAGTGTGAAGAAGAAAAAGAAGAAGAAGAAGAAGAAGAAGAAGAAGAAGAAGAAGAAGAAGAAGAAGAATGAAGATCAAAGAAAGAGGATATGATTGAGGAAGAGAATGGGATTAAGGGCATTAGTAGAGAAATTATACTTGAAAAAAGAGGAGTGATCATTTCCTCCTAAAATTGCCAAAATTAGGTAGCATTGTAAAATATCATTATTATATAGTTATTGGATTCTGTAATCCACTAACCATGACAACTATGTATTACGATTTCAACTTTGTATGTGGAAAAGTTAGTGTGAGGCTCTAGAAAGAAATTCTCTAGCCTAAATTTGTCTCTACCTAAATTAATTTATCCCTCTTAGACCAGAATCATACTGAAAATGTAGTCCTCTAAACATAACAGGGAGAAGTTTCTCCTGCCCCCTTCACAAATTTTCCCCTGGTAGGAACATCTTTGCCAAGTGCCTTGGAAAGGATTTCCAAAGGAACCATCCCAAGCTTATTTGGGTCAATAGTCAAAGAAGGCAATCAGTAGAACACCTGGAGAATCTCAGGTGGCTGTGTTCAGATGCTTTTGGCAGCATCCCCTGGGCCACCAACTCCTCTTAGGGCCACTCCAGGTTCTACACACCTGTGTGAAAGGAATAATTTCCCCCTTTGTGTAAACATGGACTAACAACAACAGATGTGTTTACTGCACTACTTAACCCTTAAAGAGGGACAAGCTGGGTGTAACATCTTTGTATAACCTGATGTAGTGAGGTTCTGTATGTTCTGTAGCACTGTTTCATTTCTGTGGGAATTCAATAGGACATCAGAAATCCTCAGAGAAAACAGCTTGATGAGACAATGGAAAGTGGGGGGACTCCACTAGTACTTGATATAGTTCTAGAAATGCTAGAAACAGATAAGAGAAAGAAATTAAAAAAATAAAGAGAGGCAAAGATAAGATAAAGCTATGACTATTTGCTAATGATGTGATGGAACATTTGGAAAATACTAAGAAATTCAGGACAGATATCGGTTGAGATAATGAATAGCTTCAGCAAATTTTTCAGGCCGCAAATAAACCCTCAAAAGTCAACTCTATTTCTATATAATAATAAAATCCAAGAAGTAAAAGAAAAAATCAAATCTCATTCCAAATAACTATAGTATAATGCATAAAATATCTGAGGATTGTCTTACCAAAGCACACCAAAAATTAGTACAGATTCAGTTACCAAGTGTTCCTTAAAGAAATAAACAACTTAAATACCTGGAGAAATATTCAGTGCTCATGGGTAGGCTGTGCCAACATAATAAAAAGGCAATGCTAGCAAAGTTAATTTACATTTTTAAAACTATACATCAAATTGTAATGGGGATCTTTCATAGAACTTGGTAAAATAATAGCAAGCTTCATTTGGAAAAACACAAGATCCAGAATATCAAGGAAAATTATGAAAAAATATAGAGACAAAGAGGGAAAAGAACTTCCAGAACTAAAATTATATTATAAAGCAGCAATTATCAAAACCATCTAGTATTAGTTAAAAAGCAGATCAACTGAAAAGATTAAACAAGGGAGGATCATAAATAATGGAACTCAATAAACCAATGTTTGATAAAATGGAAAACAAATTATACAGAAAAATACTCCTTATTTATAAAAACTGCTTGAAGAACTGGAAAGCAATCTAGCAGAAATTGGGCTTAGATTAATACCTTAAACCAGTGTTATCAAATTCAAATAGAAATTGATCCTTCTGTGGTATGCTGACTTAAAAACTCCCAACAAATTAACATTACCTATGTTGTATTGTATTTTTATTTTGTTAACATTTCCTAATTATGTTTTAATCTGATTTGGACTGCATTTGCCATATTCCACAACATATCCTAAATGTATAAGTGACTTTAATATTAAAGATCATAATATTAAAATTATCAGAGAAAATAGGTAATGTTTCTGAGCTATGCATAAAAAATGTATTTTTAATCAAACAAGAGACAAAGGTTACAAAAGATAACATTGATAAGTGATTATATGAAATGGAGAAGCTTTTGCACAGACAATACGAATACACTTAGGCTAAGAATGGGAAAAGATTCTGTATCAAATTTGCCTTACCTGGGTTTGGGATCAAAGATATATAAACAATTAATAAATCTATTTAAGACTAATAATCTTTTCCCCATAGATAAATAGTCAAACTGCATAAACAAACAGTCCTCAAAAGAAGAACTGCAAAGTATTCACAACTACATGGATAAATAGAAAAATACAAATGAAAACAACCCTGAGGTTTCGCCTCACATCTTGAAAACTGGCAAAGCAATAGTCAATGTTGGCCGGGTTGTGGAATGATAGGCGCAATAATACATTGCTGATAGAGCTGTGAAATGGTACAACCATTCTGAAAAGCAATTTGGAACTACACAAATAAGGTGACTAAAATGTCTATTCCCTTTGAACCAGAGACTCTACTATCGGGTTGTATCCCAAGGAAGCCATTGATAAGAAAAAAGTCCCTATGTACACCAAAACACTTATGGCTGCACTTTTTGTGATAAGCAAAAAGTTGGAAACAAAGTAGATGCTCATAGATTGGAGAATGGCTAAACAAATTGTGGTACATAAATGTAATAGAATATTGCCATGCTGTAAGAAATTATATATGTGGTAAATACAGAGAAAGCATGGATAGATGTACATCAATTTATTCAGAATGAAACAAGCAGAGACAAGAAACAATATACACAATGATAACAACAGTATAAGGAACAACTGCACACACAAAAAAACAAAAGTGAATGTAACAAAATTATAAAGATCACGCATGACTCAAATGAAGAGATATGAGAGGACACCCCCAAATCACCGTTTGGGGAGGTGGGAAGTCCAAAGATATCACATATTGTACATGTTTTTTGGGTTTTTTCAATGTATTGATCCATAATGCTGATTTTTCCCTCTTCCTTTCTTCCTTCCTTTCTTTCTTCCTTTCACCTTTTAAAAATACTATTGCTTATATGAAATGGCTCTCTGGGAGGGGAGGGAGGAGGATACCTGGGATATAAAAAAAATTAAAAATATTTAAAAACAGAAAGTGGGGAGACCTATGTGTAGCTACAAGGATTTCTAAAGTTCTCTCCTTGCTTCATTTGCTCTCAAGAGAGACTTCTGATCAGCAATTGACTGGCAGGGGGTGGAGAGCCTCAGAAGTGAAACCAAGGCTCCCTGTTCAAAACATGGGCAGAAGCCAAAAGACTCTGTTAGATAAGATCTCTTTGTTGCTGGCAGCCTGACCTGCATCTGTTTCTATCTGTTGTGACTGGAACCTGAAGGAAGAAATTTGAGCCCAGACTGTTCTTACAGTGGCCACATCCTGAGCTTCTCCCTGTGGCGATAAGGACCAGTGCTGTGGAAGTGAACAGAAGCAGGCAACAGGATTGAGAGGAGGTCCAGAGTACTGGGGACTGACAGTCGTCTCATTGTTGGTGTTCAGTCAGTCTGAAGTAAAAGGATTGCTGAGCCAGGAGTAGGAATCTGATCAAGTTCCCCTGCACTGTGTTCCTAATAAAACTTCAAGGGCCAGATTTGGGACCCCGGACTCTTGGCCATTAACCCCTCCGCAGGACCTGCCGGCATGGGTGCCTTAGGGCCTTTCGTAGGCACTTAGGAGAGGAGTCTAGTAGAGCGGAGTTTGGGGAATCAGTTTGGCTGGAGTAAAGAGTGTGTATCCATTTTCAAACATTTATGCTATGTCACATAAAACATTAGGACCACAGTGAATTGAGTCAGTGTATTCTATGCGTGTACGTGTGGGGGAAAGGGCACTGGAGTGAGAGGGGAGTGGTAGTAAAGTCCAGATTGGAGAAGGGGGTGTACAACTAGATAGATAGATAGATAGACAGACAGACAGACAGATAGACATCTATGTAGGTATTCATAACTATTTCCCTATCTTTAATGCTTTTGTGCTCATTGTTCCCTAGTCTAAACTTCAGAACCTGGTCAGCACCGCCTTGAGAAGCCACATGGCTCCATGGTTCACTGGCTCTTGAGTGGTGGGAGGGATCTTAGTTTTCAGAGGCTAAGTGTGCTCTGTGGGCTAGTGGGGATAAAGCAGCTATTTAGGAAGACAGTTGTGCTCAGGCTCCAGAGAAACAAGGATGGAACCACTTGGCTCGGGGTTTGAGTATATTGCCACCTGCTGGGCAACTGGGATATTGTACCCCTTCTTTGGGTAATTAATGAAACGTTTCCTTGCTTTCCTATAAGCTTAAGAAAGGCAATATATAACAGATATGAGCTATAAAGATTAGTGTAGCACCTCAAATGTCACACAGAGTCCTTCCAAAGTGCATACACTGCCTACATTTGTCTCACACTGATTAACTAGGATTCAACTAACTAGAGAATCATCAATTCCCCACCCCCACAACTCCCTCTTTAGGAGAAAACAACAAAATACAAGAATACAAGCTAATATCAGAAACTCAGTACAAGAAAAGTAACTTCTAAGATATGTCTTCGAGTCAGTACACTCAGCCTGATATTCTTTTGATGAAGTTGGTTCATTTTCTATTGAAATTCTACTCTATTTTAAGGAATATGATCGCTTTAAATTGACTAAATGATGCACTATTTAAAGTCATTGCTATTGGAAATATGCCAAAAGGCTGTAAAGTAAGTAATCTCAGTGACTGACCTGTAACTGAAGTCAGACAGATAGTTTCTAGCCTGAGAAAGAAGGGAAGGGAACAGTTAGTCTCCCAATGTGTCATGGAAAAATACTTCTTTCTAACTGAGGAAAAAGACAGCTTTTTGTATTTCCCAGTTGTCAGTACTTTTGTACCTTTCTCAAATGGGTTTAAGATCCCTAATTGGATTTGGAAGTCATCCATTCTGACCATTACCTGAATTAGAAATTCCTTCTACCCCACCCCCAATATTTGGTCAATATAATACTCTTTGCCTAATCTAGTGACAGGAAGCTCACTACCTAACCAAGTAGACAGTTCTGGTTTTGACAGTATTAACTGTTAGTAAGTTACTGCTTGTGTAGAGTCAAAATTTGCTTCCCTTTATCTTTTGCCCATTTGCCCTGGTTTCCTGGTTTAATTTGAAATTTAATCTTTTTTCCTCACATAACCATCAACCAGTATTTGAAGAAAGAAATCAGTTCTGTGCTAAGTTTTTTCTTCTGTTGAACTTGCTTCAATACAACTGACATGGTTTCAAATTTCCTTACCATCCTATTTATTGTCTTCTAGCCCCACTATAGCTTATGAAGTATGACCCAAATGTGATTCCTAGAACTAAATACAATATTCCTGATGTGATAAACTCAATGCAGAATGTAGTGGGACTATCATCTCTATTTTTTCCTCAACATTATTCAAGGGGAGCAAGTTTGAATTGGCCTATAGAGGTTAACTCAAAGAACACATGCTCAAGAGATCATCCAGAAAGTTCTAGGGACTCCTACAATATGGTAGCTTAAGCTTTTGGTGGATGGTGAACTTCTTGACTGCTTCTGACCACATAATGGCCACATCATAACCACAAGGATTTGGTTCCTTGATCATCTTCCCATCAGACTCTTTATTAAACTAATATTAATGCTACCTAAGAGCACAGAACTAACATGCCATGTTGTTGGCACTCTCTGATCTTGCATTCTATCAAGTGCTCCTACCCAATTTCCTCCATTAAAAGTACAGGCCTTTATATTTTCCCTCTTACTCCTGATTAGATTTGGTCTTCTGTTGTAGCCTATTAAGATATTTTTGGGAGCCTCTTTTCTATTAACCAACATACCAGCTATCTCTCCCAATTCTGTGTTACCTGGAAATTTAATATTTGCTATTTTATGTCTTCATTTAAGTTCTTAAAAATGTATAGAATCTTGCAGGAACTCTCTACTAGAGAATTACCTACAGGTTGAGCATAAACCATTAATCAACATAATGAAAAAAACATACAGTGTGGTGTGTTGGATGGAGGACCTGCCTGCCTCTTAGAGACAAGAATTACTGGGTTTAAGTCCTGCCTCTGACACGTGCTGTATCTGTAACTCTGGAAAAGTCACTTAATCTTGCTTAGGGCCTCAGCTAACAAAGATTACAAGTGGCAGAGCATTGCAGATTTAAGCTGGTGGAGGGAACATTTTTATTATGGAGCTCTTCATGTTGATGAAATCACAGTTGAGACTTAAATTAATGTAGCTCTCCTCTAAGAGGCCAGCAGTAATACTGGAGGTCTGGAAGATGGACAGAATGATGGTGTTTTCACCTTGAAGTCTTCCTGGTCTCAATGATCTTAAGAGACAAATTCTGGCCTGATATGTACATGAGGAAGAGGACCAAAGGCTTTCCATGAATGTGGGCAAAGAATGCCACAACCCAGAGCCATGATAGTATTACAACAAGACACAGAAAGAGTCTTTATGCTGAACATTTCCATCATGGCTTGAGTTCAGTTGCTCCCTAAAGAAAGGATCAAAAGAGAGGAGCCCTGAGAGCCAGGGACATTAATTCCAAAGCCTTCCAGCATCCCTTTGAGATTAGATCCCTATTGTTGATGCAATAGACTAGGATATTTTCCCCTCTGTGACCTCTAAGTGGTCTAAGATTCAGTTTTCTTTTGTCTACCCTAAATACTTCATACTGGAATCCACTTCTTTTAAAATGCACTTCAAACACTAGCATCTTATCTGTATTTATATCTATGTCTGTCTGTCTATCTATCTATCCATCTATCTAGTCTTTCCTGATCCCTACAAATGCTAACACCTTCCTTTCCTATCTTATATCTAACTACATTATCTATATTTTGTATTAATTATATATATATATATATATCCTTATATCTGGATAGAATGTAAGCTCCCTGAAAGCAGCAGTTGTTTCAATTTTTATCATTGTATTCCTAGTTCCAGAAGAACAAAATGCTTGTTGATTGATCTCCAGATACTGCCACTGTCCTCAGTCACTTAAATGTTCATGCTGAACATTTTGCCCTAAGGATGTTAGTTCATCTAGATTATGTGACTTGAATTTGAGGGCAGCTGGGTGCTCTCTTCCTATTTCCTTTCTGACCTTAGGAACTGCTTCTTGTTGGCCAGTTTTGTTCCATCATTTTCCTTGCATTGATCACTTTTCATGGCAGAGAAGACAAGCTAACTAAGAGCTGAATTAGCACAGACTTCAAAGGTCTATGATTTTGTCAGTGAAGGGCTCTTTCTACAAACACAAACCATAGCCCTCTGTGACTTGGCAGGAAGGCTTCAAGCTGGTATGGACAAAACATTCACAAGTCTAGAGCTGAGCTTATGACAAGCTTTGAACACAGCAGGAGCTAAATGAATGTTTAATTGAATTAAATCAGAAAATTCTTGCAAACCACAGAATCTCAAAAATGTGGTATTAAATTTTCCTGCTTCAAGGAGATGACTAAATATAAAGTGGTAGGATTATAATTACAGCAACTGCCTCCCAGGACTATTGTGAGGATCAAATGAGATAATATTTGTAAATCACTTAACACGGTGCCTGGTATACAGTAGGCACCTAATAAATGCATGTTTCTTTCCTACCTAGTTATAGTAAGGAAGAATATCTCCTTTTTAGGGTTATATGAGACTATATATCTTCCCCTGGACACAAGGAGGACCAAGAGTGGCTGGAAACTATATTGGCAATTCATAGTATGTCTCCTACTTACATACAAATTACAAATAATCTGTCTATAAAACTTCCCTTGTTACTGTAAGGCTGAAACTATCATCAGTGTCTCTCTACCACAATGTTAAAAAGGTAGCCATTATAAGGGGAGGGGAGAGGGAATAAACAAAACAAAAAACAAACAAACAAACAAAAACCTGGGAGCTTCTAAAGAACTTTAAGGTTCAAAATGGAGGAGAGGGAAACCAGACCTAAACAAAAGAAAACCAATGTTCCAGGGTTAGAGATACAACCATGCATGGGATTCAGGGAAAACAAAGCTAGAGAGCAAGGCCAAGATTGAAGGCCTTCCCTTGTGCAGTGAAGGTCTTCCTAGGATCATAGATTTTGAGAAAGGGACCTTTACCATCAAGTCCATCCCCCATTTTACAGAAGTGCAGCTAAGGCCAAGAGAAGTCAAGTGACTTGCCAAGGTCGCACAGCTACTAAGTGTTTGAGGTAGGATTTCTATCCAAGGCTTCTTCACTCCAAGCCCAGCACTCTAAGCTATCTGTCAAAATACAGAGACTCCATCTCACTAGTATGACCAGGATGGAACAGAGAGACTATTCACAGGCAAGATCTCACTACTAATCACTGTGGGAGTTTTGACCTGCTCCATTTCTGATCTGGGCTGGTTCTCCTCTCCTTAGGTAACCTAGTGGTCCCCTATTTCCACAAGCTCTCCATA